GAAGAGACTCATAAATACGGAGAACAAACTGAGGGTTACTGAAGGGGTGCTGGGAAGGGGGATGGGCTAGTCAGGTGATGGGCACTGAGGAGGGTACCTGTTGGGATGAGCACTGGGTGTTACATGGAAGTGATGAGTCACCGATTCTGCTCTTGAAGCCAGGACGACACTGTATGCTAACTACCTTGAGAATAAAAAACATTTACAGTTAGTTTATTTATTTATTGGTAGAATCCCAAGGAGACCCTGTTGTCAGCACAGAGCCCGATGCAGGGCTCGAACTCACGAACTCACGAGACCATGGCCTGAGCCCAAATCAGGATTTGGTCACTTAACGCGACGAAGCCACCCAGGCGCCCCAAGAATGACCATGTTTTAAAGTTTACAGACGAAACTCGAGCACAGAAACGTCCTATACGCAGCCTGCCCCAAGGGCCGATTGCGGGAGGAGCTGGGGGTCTGCTGACGGGCTGCGGGTGGGATGCTCTGTGCCAACAGCACCTTCTCGTCCCATCACCTTGTACGGTGACCGCTGCCTGCTCTGGAGGGGACGTTGAGGCTCCTGCCTCTGAGGGCTCTGGGACGAGGAGGTGGCTCTGACTCCTCCTGAGCTAGGCCCTGGCCTGGACCCGCGTTCTGGCCTCCCTTGTTGAGTGATGACAGCATCTGGTTCCTTCCTGAAATGCCCTTTCAAACCAAGCTTCCCTTCTTCCCAGGCTGGTCTCCTGTCGGGGACGTCCGTCCGTCGGAAGCACTGCCTCGGCCCCGCTTCTCTCGAACCATCCACCTTGATGCTTGTTCCCGGGAACCCCCGTGTTAGCGGGGAAAGTCTGGTCTGAAGCATCTGGAAGGCAGGATGGTGCCATCGAAGGGTGTGCGTGTGACCTCAGAGGGTCTGTGACCACTCTAAGAATGGAGAGGACCCCGTGGCTGTGACGGTGTCAGGCAGGAGTGGCTGCGGCACGCGGGGAACCCCCACCTCCCGCTAACGTTCCCGCTGTCCTCGTCACCACAGACGTCGTGATGGGTTCGACGGGGTCTTTGGCGGCCCCGTGTCTGCTCCGTGGATGCCGTGGACGGACCTTCACACCGCAGGGCTCCACCCTGTGTCACGGAGCGCACTGTGGACGGTCAGCGGCCTGTTTCCGTGACACTTCGGACAGCACGCTGGGTTTGGGCGACGTCACCGGTCGGGGGGTCTGGGTTCGCTGCGGAGATAAGTGGGCCCTAGATCTCAGCTGCTTGCGGCCGCAGGGCTCGCGCGGGGTGCTCGTCCCGCCCGGAGGCTCCACACCTTCCCCGAGCGTCATCCAGGAACGGCGGCCGGCGGGGGCTTCACGGCCACCTGCGGTCAGCCGCCGCGGGGGTAGGGAAAAGGGAACGCGTGTGTTGCGCACTGGGGTGCCGCGTGTTTGCGCCGGGCGGCTTTTGTTCGCTGTGGGGGTGGGAGTGACCGAGCGTCACGGCCTGGGGGGACTGCGAGTGCACAACTCGATGCATTTGGGGCCCGCGTGTCTCGTGCCACCGGCTCCCCAGGGCCTCCCTCCCCTGCCCTGCCTTCCGTCACTCGTGGTTCGCACGGCCGAGAGTATTTTCTGAAGGAGGTCGTAGCGTGCCCCTCTTCGGGGGGCCTCGTTCACACAGACCACCGTCTGTGGGAATCACCCGTCCCCGTGTGAATCTCTAGCCCACTCTGTGTCCTTGCCGGGCACCCTGCCCCGTTCACATAGGCCGGATTCGTTCACTCACCTGCTGTGGACATTGGGCTGTTTCTAGCTTTGGACTGTTACAGGCGAAGACGGTAAGAACATGTGAGTGCAGGTTATTGTTTGAGTTTATTTATTTATTTTGATAGGGAGGGAGAGAGAGAGAGAGAGAGACAGCATGCTCGAGCCAGGGAGGGGCAGAGAGAGAGGAAGAGAGAGAACCCCAAGCGGGCTCCCAGCCGTCAGCACAGAGCACGACGTGGGGCTCGAACTCACGAACCGTTGAGATCACGACCTGAGCGGAAGTCAAGACTCCGTCGCTTAACTGACCGAGCCCCCCAGGCGCCCACGGATGCAGATGTTTGCGGAGACACAGGTCTGTGTTCACCCTGGGTGCGCAGCTGGGAGTGGAGGTCCCTCACGGTGCTTGTGTCAGTGTGCACCCCCGCCCGCCACCCCCGCCCCTGCAGGTTAGGGGAGTTCGTTCCCCCTACACCCTCACCAACACTTGCTGTGGTCAGTTTCTGAATTGTAGCCAGTCGAACGGGTGGGTCGTGCTGTCCCCTGTCGCTCTGGTCTGCACCGCACGGCTCATGGCGCTAAGCACGCCCCGTGTGGTTCCCGGCCGTGTCGTGTAGCTGGTGACCTTGGCGGGTACGTCCGCTTGGTAGAGTGACCTACCTCCGATCTTCCCCGGTGAGGCTACCGGCCCAGGACTGTGGATGGAAGCACCCGCTCGCATCCCCGCACCGCTCTGTTTGGTCTGAGCCGGCTCAACCTCTCCGTCTCACCGGGTGGTGGGGACAGGAGGCCGCAGACACAGGCGGAGGGGAAGCCGGTTCGCAGGGACGATGCAGCGGCATCGGGGGTCCTGCTAACACACGGATCCCGACCCCGTGCGTCTGGGCCCCACGTCCTGTGTTTGTCACCAGCTCCAGGTGACGTCTGGAGCTGCCGGTCCGTGGACCACGAGTGGGGGACTCAGAGGGTGACGAGCGTGTCCGCACAGGTCGTGACGGATAGTGACAGGGGCAGAGAGCGGGGGGCCTTCCGCTGTGGTCCCCCTGGCGGGGTTCTGCAGGTGGGGCTCCGGCTGCCTGGCGCGGAAGGACACAGGCACCGGCCCCGGCTGTGACGACCCCCCCCCCCACCTCAGGGCTCGATCCCACAGTTAGCCTGTCCGGGTGCCACTGTCACACCAGGCCAGCCCTTACTGGGTCCTTGTGAGTATTCGGCAGGCCACCACTTGCAGAGGGGCTCGGCGGGCCTGCCCGGTGGCAGGTCGGCCTCGTGGTGGCCGCGGGGGTCAAGCCGCAGGGCAGGGCTCCCCAGTACCAGCAGGAGGGGACAGGCGAGTTTGCCACAACCACAGGGAGCAAGGCAGAACCCCTGTTGCATCTCGGGACGCGAGGGGCACCGGTCCGGGGGATGAGGAGGTGGCCCCGGGGCTGCCTCCGCCGTTACCCCGTGGGGTCCGTGCCCACGGAGCCCGTGTCCATGACAGCCTCGCAAGGTCGAGTTGCGGTCAGTGCCCGGTCCCCACGCTTCACCTCCGGGACCCACGGCGGCCAGGGGCCTCTCGTCTGGGTTCACGGGGTCAGCTGGGGGAAAGCGGATCACGGAAGCCGATGGACACTCGGCAGTATTTATATCATTTGGCCTCGGGAAGGCCCCCCCCCCCCGCCCCCCACGACCGGAGACCCTCTCTGCTCCGCGATCCCTCGTGTCACAGGGCTGGCCTCTGGGAGGGCCCGCCCAGGCAGCCGCAGCGGGGGCCTCGGTGCCCTGTCATCTTCCCGCCCGCCGTCTCTACGGCAGGCCTCCTCCTCCCCTTCCCCCTCGTTCCTTCTGGACTCAGGACCCTCCCAGCTGTCCACGACAGGACCCCACTCAGTTCTGTGAAAAGAATCGGGTACGTTCACATCTCACTTAACGGGAACATGCCCTCACTGTCGAGCCTCGTCTCCTGACCGCTTCATCCTGCGAGCCTGAAGCTCGGTCCCCATTAAACGGCCAGCCCCTGTCCCCCCTCCACCTCCTTTCTGGCCTCGGCCCCCCATCTTCCCACCTGGGAGCCCCGCGGGGGCGAGAGAACGTCTCTCCCGAGGCCGTATGTTAACCCCCTGTACCTGGGGTGAGGGGCCCGCCTGCGAGAGCAGCACAGCAGACCGGCCGACAAAGCTCTGTTCCTGATGTCGCCCTTGACCTGCTCACCAGAACTGGGTCTCACGACCTCCAGACGTGCCCTTCACTGCCCCGGCCTCTGTCTGTGTCACTGCTTCCAGGGAGCACACGATACCTGCCGTAGGGCGTAAACGCAATAAAACCTCCCCCTAGGAAAAGACGGGAAACGACAGGCTGTGATCGCTAGTCCTGCCATACAGGAAGACGCAATTTCCTCCTCGGACAGTGGAGTCGTTCATCAATCAATCATATTGGCCACCCTTCATTTTGTTCTCTGTGAAGATCTCTCCTGTCCACCGAGGAACAGATTCAGCTGCTGTGCTTTTTTTTTTTTTTTTTTTGGCCTGGAATGTAGATGTGATGGCTGGGGTTGCGGCAGTTATTTTGAGTTCATGAGGAATGGCCAAGAACATCTGAGACTTTTAGCCCTCGGATCTTAAATCTGCTGGATCAGTGTCACCCAACCATCTACCTCCAGCCTTCTTGTTATATAAGGAAAAACATTAAATAAATACTAAGTTTCCTCTGAACCTGTGCTTCATCTTTTTTTATTTCTGCGTCTGAGCCACAGGCCTTGATGTTTTGCGTTATAGTTTCCCTCAGATGTGGCCTTGTGTCAACATGAAGCTCAGAACATGAAGCTCTTCAACATGAAGAACAGACCCGGGAACTCCATCCCCTGAATGGGACCCCCCATCAGTATCTGTCTCCGGCTCCATCCAGGGCCCAGTCTTACCCTCTGCCGTGTTTCCTCTTCACTCCCAGGAAGCTTGTGATACCTTTATCTTGGGGTGGAGAATTTGGATTTGTCAGAAGAACCTTTCTAGACACAGCCAGGGCCCATAAAATGCCCAACAGTGGTTTCAGAACCAAGTATGACAAGTTGCACTTAAGTTCCACTTAAATAGAAACGCATTTTTCATTCATAGCCAAATTAAAAGGCTTCGGGATCTGTGAGTAATCTTGGGCTGCTCTTCCCCCCCCCCCCCCCTTAACTGTCAGTCTCCTAATTTAACCATCTGGAATTCTTTTTAAAGTGCCATCCTATTCAGCATTTGGAAACGAGGGGCCCGACTCTAAATGGGAAAAAAAATCTACATTTTGTTGCAGAGGGAGAACTCGACGCCAATGTCCTATTCGACAGAGACCGCAGCAACCTGGATGCCTCGCGGACGGCAGAGGGGAGCTTCGGAAAATTCATTCCACGTGTGACGGGAGACCCCCAACTGTGGGAATGGACGCGAAAACTGGAAGATGCACTCCCCGAAGACCTGGGCGCCTGCTGCTGTCTCCCTCTGACGTCCGCGGCACGAGGCTTTGTCACGTGCGGCCACGGCCTGGCTGACACGGAGCGCCAGCGCCCAGACGCTGCGAAGGTACTTGTCGTCTCCCTGTGGCTCCAGTGTGACCGTCTGTCCTGTCTTTTCATTTCCTGCATCAGCAACACCCCACCCCCCCACCGCCCCCGGTGGGTCTGGGCTGCCTCTCCCCGCGTCCTCACTAGCACCAGGGGAGGCGATGGTTAGTGCAGCTGACGGGTGACCAGCTGCGGTGGGGCGCAGACCTGACCTTCCTGGCCCCCTGGTCGTGGGGCAGGACCTGGCAGCTAGTTCTGGCCCGTGAGCGGGAGTGAGTACGTCGTTCCTGGGTTGGGGCGTTGAATAGCCTGTGTGTGACTTTCTAGAATCCCCCGCTGAAGTAATTACGGAAGCAGAAGTGAATTTGGAGCCCCCCCATAGGCTCAGACCCCCGAGTGGCTGGAGGGACCAGAATGTCCCTGCCCACCTGCAAAGTCATGGAGCAGGAGGGAGAAATAAGTCCGTTTTGAGCCTGAGGTTGGTAAGCCACGGCCTGCAGTCCAAATCTGGCTCGCCACCCGTTCTTTAAATGAGGGTTGCCTTGGGGCGCCTGGGTGGCGCAGTCGGTTGAGCGCCCGACTTCAGCCAGGGCACGATCTCGCGAGATCTCGCGTGATCTCGCGTGAGTTCGAGCCCCGCGTCGGGCTCTGGGCTGACGGCTCGGAGCCTGGAGCCTGTTTCCGATTCTGTGTCTCCCTCTCTCTCTGCCCCTCCCCCGTTCATGCTCTGTCTCTCTCTGTCCCAAAAATAAATAAACGTTGAAAAAATAATAATAATAAATGAGGTTTGCCTGGGTCACAGCTTGCCCGCTCGTTCATGGGTTATCTGCGGCTGCTGTTTGGCTGCAGTGACAGAGTTGAATACTTGTAACAGAGACCCTGTGGGTCACAAAGCCTCACGTGTTTCCCATCTGGCCGTTTACGTACAGAGTTTACCAGCCGTGTTTTCAGCCACTGCCTTTTTGTGACTGGTTCTTACCACAGCCTAACCAGCCTCTCCCGATGGCTTACTGAGCACAGTCTTTAAAGCTTGTTAATCTCATGGGCTAAAAAAAATAGGGTTACGTTACGTTTAATTTACATTTCTTTGATTATTCCTGGAGTCCCACCATTTTCCATTTGTTCCGTGGCCGTATTTCTCTTTTGACTGTTGATACTCGTTACCATTTTTTTCGTGAAGGGCGGAGTGATTTTCCTCTTGATCTGGTTGAGTTCTCAAAGGAGGGAGGGTATTCATCGTTTGTAGCTTACATTTGATTTATTCTACCGAGTCTCAGTTTAGGAAAGAAATAGTCCCTTCCCTCCAGAAGTTGGATGAATACTCAGCTATATTTGCTTTAGTCTTTGTATTGGATTTAAAAGCGTATTTTAATCCAACAGCAATCTTAGCACAAGGGAGAGGGTGAGGGACGGGGTGGGATGCTTGTCTCAAACTATTTGTCGCTCAGCTTCCCCTCACCCATCGTGTTTTTGATGCTTACCTCTTGTGGTTTGATGAGTTCTTCTGTATTGAAATGGCCCATGTTAAGGCTAGTTTTTCTGTCGCACGGATCATCCTGATTATTGTCGCAACATGCTTTCCTCGTAGTTTCACGGTTTACACGTGAAAAAGCAGGCGTGAAGGTCTCACGCGCGCACGCAGTCGACCGTACAGAGAGGGCTGTCGCCACAGTGAGGCAGGACCCATCGTAGAAACAGCCCGGGAGGCAAGAAAAACTGAGACGTTAAGCGGTTTTACAGTTTCTCCATCTTTCCAGTTCTGGCCATTTTCACAATCTTCTCATATGCACAGTAATGGAAAACTACTTTATTTTATGGGGAAAATCGCATCCCAGGATGGAACCTCGCTCTCCGAATGCCTTTGCCTGCCTGCGCTGTTGACTGCCGTCGTGAGGGTTCTGCCTGCGTCTGGAACGCTCCTGCCTTTTCATTTCTCCGCGGCCGTTTTCTATCTTGCCAGGAGCTGCCGCGGTCCCCTCCTTAGCTACTCACACAAAGACCCTTATATCCTTCTGCTAGTTTTTCAGGACTCGGTCTCTATCGAGATTCAGATCAGTTCTGGTGAGAGCCTGACTCCCGCGGGGAAGCCACGGGAGGCCGGCCGCGGGAGAGAGGAACCGGGGGCTTCCAGAGCTCCGGGCCCGCATCCCCGCCCGCCCGCCCGCCCCACCTACCATGTTCTTTTCTCCTCCGCCTTTGTGTGCCCCCCGCCGGCCTCCCCACCACGCTGGCTGCCACACCAGAGACTGGAATCCCGCTCCCCGCTGACCGCCCTCACCGTTAGCACCGCCGGGCTCGTGCGCCCCCCGGGGGCCCCCGTCCGCCCCTGGGGCACGCCTCTGCCGTCACTCGTTTGCGTTTAGTGGATCTCCTCCTCTCTGGTCTCACACGCTCTTCTGGTGTCCCTGGGCCTTCCTTCTAGAACACAGAGCTCAGATCAGGGCGTTTGCCCAAAACGCCTACTGTTGATTTTGCTGCCCCGACACCCATCCTGCTCTCACCGCACAGTGGCCGTGTCTCATACTCTTGGCACCTGGGCCTCAGCATTTCCTAGAGCAGGAGCTCATCACGCACAGAGCTGCTCTTTGTTTCATCACGAGGGCCCTCCTTCATCCCCAGCATCTATGTCTCCACACCGCCCCCTCGTGACCAGCCGTGTGTGCTCTGTAGTTCGCTTTGCCTCTTTTCTTTCTTTGTTCATTTGTTTCTTAAAGTCCACATATGAGCGAAGTCCTGTGATATTTGTCTTTCTCTGACTAATTTCACTTAGCATAATCCCCTCCAGTTCCATTCGCGTAGTTGCAAATGGCAGGATTTCATTCTTTTTGATTGCTGAGTAATATTCTATTGTATATATACCACATCTTCTTTATCCATTCGTCCATCGGTGGACACTTGGGATCTTTCCATACTTTGGCTATTGTCGATAGTCGGGGTGCATGTGTCCCCGGTCGAAACAGCACACCTGTATCCCGTGGATAAATGCCTAGCAGTGCCATTGCTGGGTCATAGGGTAGTTCTATTTTTAGTTTTTTGAGGAACCTCCATACTGTGTTCCAGAGTGGCTGCACCAGCTTGCATTCCCACGTACAGTGCACGAGGGTCCCCCTTTCTCCGCGTCCTCGCCAACAAGAGCTATTCTCCATGGAGCATTTTTATATGTCAGGTGCTGTGCTAAGAGCTTTATATACATTAACGTATGGATTTCTCATAACTCTGTGGGGACGATATTATCAGTATCTTCATTTTATAGACGAGGACATGAGGTGTAGGAGGCCCAGGTAAATCGCCCGAGCTCTCACGACCCCTGCCAGGTGCGGTCGGGAACCCTGGCCCGACCCTGGCCCGGTGTCTGTGATGCCAGAGCCCACGCTCCTGGCCACTGGGCCGCATTTCCATGCTTTCTTCTCTGACTTGCTCTTTCCGGGTGTCCGTGCCCTGTGCTGACCCAGGCAGACATCCACACCCTGGGTCGTGCTCGTTTGGACCCCTAAACCACGACACCGACACTGGCCGTGAGGGGCAAGGCGTTTATCCAGAGCAGGAACTGGCACCGGAGGCCCTTGGCGGCCCCTCCCGGCTCCGGACTGGGTGATTTGTACAATGCGTCCTGGACCGCGACCAGGGACCAGTCAGGGCACCGCGGGAAAACGTAAGCGTGTTTGGGACGTCGTGTGTCAGCTCGGCTCTTTGCCCGGGTTCCTACTTCAAGACGGGAGAGGGGGACAGCTATGCGGTCAGCCCGGGGTCGGAAGGTTCCGTGTCCCGGGCCGCGTCCGCGTCTTACGGGGTGGCGTGGGGGGCGGGCTCTTCCTAGATGTTGTGCTTTTCCAAGCTCCGGCTTCAGTGACGTCGCTCTGTCAGCCTGACCCTGACGTTGATGGGAGCATTTACACCGTGGCAATCAGCACAGTCTCTGCAGCACTCCGCCGAACTCCACCGGGTAGGATCCACTGGTTCAGTGCGCAGACTCCACCGTCACGAGGCCTGGGTGTGCGTCCCCACAGCAGCACGCACCAGCTGGATGGCTCTCGGAGCCTCAGTTTCCCCGATGGCCAAGACAGGGATCCAAACAGCAGCATCAAGGGCAGGCGTGAGGCTTACGTGAAACGACGCGTGTCCAGGGCTTAGCAGAGCGTCTGCCCCTGGTCAACCCTCAACAAGGGGTGTCGAGTATTTAAAAAAAATTTTTTTTTTTACTGTCTATTTACTTTTGAGAGAGAGAGAGAGCGTGCATACGAGCGGGGGAGGGGCAGAGAGAGAGAGGGAGACACAGAATCCGAAGCGGGCGCCAGGCTCCGAGCCGTCGGCACGGAGCCCGACGCGGGGCTCGAACTCACGGACCGCGAGATCACGACCTGAGCTGGAGTCGGAGGCTCAACCGGCTGAGCGCTGCAGGTGCCCCAGTGGGTGCTGATTATTACCACTAATAAGCAGGATAAGGAAGTGCACAAAAACGACGAGGTGAGCACGGCCACTAAAATGCCTTTGCGCCCTTGACCGCAATACACGGCGCCAGCGAGACAGGAACCAGAACACCAAGGATGCGCGTTCCCGGCAGGACAGACGCGCGTCAGGGGGTCCTGCACGAGCCAGGAGGTAGTCGACGGGCAGGAGGAGGCTGTTCCGGGCAGACAGAAGGAGTGGCTCTCAGCGGACTCTACTCGTGGATTTCAGAGGCGGAGCCACGGCGCGTGTCGGATGGGGTCTGAGGTCCACAGACCAGGGCACCAATCGACGTTTGGCGCTTCTGTGACCTTGACCTGACCCTTGCAGACCTCTGCTGTCTCCTCTCTGGACTGAAGGGAACCGACTTCTGCTGGAAGAATTACAGCCAGCGCTGCGTGTGGGGATGACCTCCGGGGAACCGCCGAGCGGCTGTGTCATCAGGGGGCCCGGCCGGGGCCGCCCAGGGCACGTGGAGCCTCGACGTCCGTCCGGCACGCGGGGCGGGGCCCCTTCCCAGCAGGGGCGCCTCAGCGCTCTTTCGGGAGCCGTGTCTCCTGCTGCAGAGGGCCTGGAAATGGGGACGGGGTCCCCGGGGCCGTCCCCGTAGTCGTGTGTCATCCGTATTAACAGGGGACGTCCTCGGCCTTTCTCTGACTTGCCCTTTCCCGGCCTAGCGGATGTGGTCTTTGTCTTTCCAACGCAGCCGCTCCTTGCTCGTCGTGTCCCTCGGGTGTGGCTGCGTGGGTTCAGCCGGGTGACGCGTGCAGACGCCTCTTCTGCCCGCGGACACAGGGGCGCCCGGTGGGGGTACGAGCCCCGACGGCCGTCCTGCCCCCTGGCTGCTGCTTCCTGTTTGTCCGCGCCTCGCGGTGAGAGGTTACTTCCGTCACCCCCTGGGGCGTGGCTTCGAGACCCGCAGTTCAGGGGGGCACAGGGAAGGCACCCGGGCCCCTTCTCCACAGGTCACGTACGGCCGGAGATCCTGAGGAAACTGTCAAAAATGGAAACAGCCCCGGCGGGAGAGAAGCTCCCTGGCACGGATTTGTGGGGCGGGAGAGGCG